TTCCCCTTCCCCTTTTTTCCTTTTCCTTTTTTCTTTCCCCTTTTTTCGCTTCTGCGCTCTGATTCACAATGTGACAATATATATATATTTGTTTTTGTTTACTTATTTATTTATTGATTTGACTGATGCAATATTTTGTTCTTCTGTCTGTACGTGTACGTATATGAAGACGAAAAGCAGGGCCCAAAGGTTGTCTGCGACCCACGGCACGGTGTTTGCAGTTGCCATGGGGATGGCAGAGGGTACTTGTCGGTCCCGGCCACGATGGACGGATTGCTGTCTGTTCCTCTCCCTGTGCTGTCCGGTGATGAGGTACTTAACGAGCTGCGCCGACATGGCAAGCACTCCAATTGGGCCAAATTCCGCGCCATGTACTCCAGTGTGATTGGCGGGGTGACGACGGATCCCGCGGCGATGGTGATTTCTCTCGATGACCACATGGTTCACCGAGGGCATGCAGTTTTCGACACAGCGATGGTGGTGAACGGGTACGCCCACGAGCTGGAAGCACATCTGGATCGTTTGTTCAGATCGATGGCGATGGCGAAGCTCTCTCCTCCTTTCCTGCGCGAAATTCTTCGTGATGTCATCCTTAAAACTGCCGGGATCTCTCAGTGTCGCGACGGTCAGATCAGGTATTGGGTCTCCGCTGGCCCAGGCGGATTTGGGCTGTTACCGTCGGAATGCCCGAGGTCAGCATTTTACGTGGTCGTCTTTGACCAGCCTCTTTTTTCTGTTGACACCAGTGGCTATGGCGGCGATGGGAGGATTTCTGTTGATGTCAGCAGCTCTGGCGGAGACGAGAGGATGACCGCAGCAGCAGCAGCTCGACAGCAGAAGCAGCTGATTCTGCGCACAGCGAGGGCAATCACGACGAGTGTACCCATCAAACCCCCTCCTATCTCCTTGATGAAGACGAATAACTACATCCAGAACGTGATGGCCGGGATGGAGGCTGTCTCTTATACACATCTAGATGTGTATAAGAGACAGTCTTTGACCAGCCTCTTTTTTCTGTTGACACCAGTGGCTATGGCGGCGATGGGAGGATTTCTGTTGATGTCAGCAGCTCTGGCGGAGACGAGAGGATGACCGCAGCAGCAGCAGCTCGACAGCAGAAGCAGCTGATTCTGCGCACAGCGAGGGCAATCACGACGAGTGTACCCATCAAACCCCCTCCTATCTCCTTGATGAAGACGAATAACTACATCCAGAACGTGATGGCCGGGATGGAGGCGGCAGGGCAGGGCGCTGACGTGGCAGTTTGGATAGATCAGGAGGGGTACCTGGCAGAGGGTCCGACCGTATCCATTCTGATCGTGAGTCAGGATGGGTACTTAACGCGTCCGACCTCGGACACAGCTCTCAGGGGATGCACGGCTGAGAGGGTGATGGAACTGACACGTCAGCGACTGATAATTCAGGGACACATGGCGTCATCCACCTCCTTGATTGGTGGACAGGTGGCAGCAGCAGCTGCTGCAATGGGGGGAACAGATAGATTAGCACGCTTGTCAAAACCACTTCCCTTGCAGGGGGTAAGAGTGCAGAGGATCCCGATTGAGGAGGCAAGGCGCGCCAAGGAGATGTTCATAGTCGGTAGCACGAGCCCCGTGCAACCGATCGTCGAGTGGGATGGCCGACTGGTCTGCGACGGCAGGCCTGGACCGGTCCCCGTAGCTCTGTACGAGATGCTTGAGGCTGATATGCGCTTTGGTGAAACCAATGGCAGAAGGACGCGTATCGCAATTCCCTACCCGCCGCCATCAACTGCCTCGTGTCCGACACGTGGCGGTTCTACGTTGATGACGTCACGACTCTGACGATGATGTTTTTTTTTTAAGAGATGGGAACGGAACAGTGAGGGAGTCCGTTCGACTCGATTACAATGTGCCCTTACCCCCCACCCCCCTTCGCCACCCCTGCCCCCTTCCACACCCCCCTGTGGGCCTGTGGTACTGTGGTTCCTCACCACCCATCGACTGCCACGTGACACTGCCTGACACGCGGCAGTCGGAGGTGGATTATGTCAGGACTCTGATGATGTTTTTTAGAGATGGAAACGGAACGGTGAGGGTTCCTCCGACTCGATTACCCGCCCCTTCCCCCTTCCACTCCCCGCCTACCCGTCTTTGCCCTAATACAACATATGGTCATTATTGCTGTATCAAGACTCAATGTTGCCCCAAATACAGCTATAATGACCGTGCGTTGTGTTGCCCCCATCCGCTCATCCTCCCACAGGCAGTGGGGATCCCACCTCGCCTGGCCTGCCGGAATCTGGACAACGGACATACTTAACTCCTAAGAATAGAGCAAAGGAAAACAAGAGAACTAAACTATATTCTTCTCTCAACTTCACCTTTCACTCTCTACCTACCACTACTCCTAAGCCTATACAAGGGACCCCTGCAAACATAGCTTAACCTACCTCTCGCACTTAAGGGGATGCATGTTGCCCTCCGCCGGAATAGGCGGTGGTCAGGGAGTAGGGTGGGACCGCCGGTGGGGGGGCAAGCTAACGCAACGACCGAGGATTTTGCCAGTAGCTGTGCCTCCCATTACTTCCCCCATCCCCCATCGTGCAGCAGCAGTGGCTATGGCCAACACTCTCCCACACACAGCACACAACCCACTCACGCTCACACTCACACCCGTGTTGGTCATAGACCCTACTAATACCGATCAGGGCTATCAAGCGGACTATCACAGTCGGTTGGTACAAAGTTTAGCACAGGGCAAAGGATATTATGCCTAAGCAGAAGGATAAACCGATCTAGGTGTACACTAAAAATACAATAAGTGATACTATTCCTAAAAGTAGGGCTGAGGGTCAGTGAGGAATGTACTTGGAAAATACTACGCCTTAGCTCAGAACAGAGGCCTGTAGTATGCCTAAAAGTACTGCTTGTTTCACGGTGTACTTTTTTTTTTTTTTTTTTTTTTTTTTTTTGGGGGGGTTTGGGCGGGTGGGTGGGTGGGTGGGTGGGTGGGTGTGGGAGATGAGATGAGATAGTGTTTTGATGCAGAGACTGCAGTGATGCGTACATCCAATCATGAATATACAAGAGTATTCACACGAAGTACAAGCACCCTAAAAAACGCCAATAGTGCTCAAGAAGGAACAGCGTGCTTCAGATTTAATTTAACGAAAGAAGAAGAAAGTATCACAGACTTCGAGCACTTGTGCATCCTTTCCGCTACGCAAGCTTCTAGGAGCCAGGTTTTTTTTTGGCCTGGACAACTTCAATTCTCTCAATTTCACCTCACACTCTCTACCTACCACTATCCCCCAATCGGCATTGAGCAGAGTCTGCTGATGTTCGTAGGGAAGGGGACCTGAGGGGAGGCACAGGGACTGGTCCTGTTGGCATGGTCCCTGATGCTACCAGCCGTCCCCTGGCCGGTATCGCCCACCCTCAGGTCGGGAGCAGCCCCCATATTTTCTCTCGTGAACACGGTTCTGGCTGCAACACCGTTTCTGGTTGGGCCAATTTACGAAAAAAGAACAGAAAGATGATTATGTGGTGATGCACTTTTGTATCCTGTGCTACTATCCATAAAAAAAAAATAATAATAATCTTATCCGTAACATTGTTTCTGATCGCATGTCGTCTGATAAGGATTGGCGCGAAATCCTCCGATGGATATATCGGCCACATCGCGATGGGCCGATGGCTGTATCCGCCCGTGCCTGCCAACGCACGTGGTCTGAGTTCTGTACGTAGGTACCAGTCCTATCCTAATCTATATCCAGATCTACAATGTCATCCAAACGTGGTCCAAATCTATTTAAAATTTTTAATTTTTTAATTTTTTTTAAATTTTTTTTTTTTGTTTTTAGAAAGGGCGACAACCTTGAGATATGATCATCGAGCTGACTAGCCCTAGGATAATTGAGAATTGTAGTACTTCGCTCATCTGCTTCCAGTTGAGTTTGAATTGAGGTCTGTATTTCAACAGTAAGGGGTTGTACCAACTGCATCAGGCCAGTTGGTAACGTTATCCAAATCTATATCGGATTGTATCAATAACTCACCTGAGCGCTCTTTCTGTCCTCATTTAACCGGCTCTGCTTAGATCTTGTGTTCATCACCAAATCAAGTGTTTCGGCAACAAACTCCTCCGTGTTCGTCCAATCCTTAACTTCTCTCTCTCTCTCTCTCTCTCTCTCTCTCTCTCTCTCTCTCTCTCTCTCTCTCTCTCTCTCTCTCTCTCTCTCTTTCTCTCTCTCTCTCTCNCTCTCTCTCTCTCTCTCTCTCTCTCTCTCTCTCTCTCTCTCTCTCTCTCTCTCTCTCTCTCTCTCTCTCTCTCTTTCTCTCTCTCTCTCTCTCTCCGTTGCTTGCTCGCTCGCTCGGGTGAACACAATCCCACCTTCGTATATGGCCAATCACATCGTACCCTCCTTCAAACATCTTTGTCTCCGTACACAAGCATGCACATACGCGCCTCCTTCGGACATCTTTGTCTCCGTACACAAGCATGCACATACGCGCACTGAGCACAGCATGCCCCGCTACACACACACACACACACACACACACAGAGTCACGGAGGCCGTGTAGGTACGTGACAACTGCCCGATATGGCTGGTTCCACCGACACTTACGGGTTGTCCCATATTGGAGACTGGGGATTCACGCTCGAGTTCCAAGTCCGCAATTCTGAGGCCACGCAGCTCCCTAATTCGCAGATCGGCTTCTCGTTTGGGGGCAGGCTTGTTACAGCCATTGATGGTGATGAAGAGCAGTTAAGACTCGAGAGAGAGGCTCCGCCTTTGTGCCATCGCCTTTGCTGGTGGGCATGGTCTGTGTACACCTCTCGCAGACAATCAGCGATCCTCTTCTCTGCCTGTGCCGTTTCCTTCACAGTGTGCTTCACAGCCTGGTGAAGACATGCCATTGACGTGTCATGCAGGGAGAACTGCAGTGCACACTCCCCTGCATAGTTCAGCATCTGCGCCTGGTTGCAGCGGCTCGCCGTTGGTGCCTGTGTGCACACTCCCTTGCATAGTTCAGCATCTGTGCCTGGTGGCAGCGGCTCGCTGTTGGTCGGTGGTAGTTCCACTCCCGTGTCTGCCCTGCCACCCCATTGCGTGTGCGCAGTCTTCATTATTGAAGCCCCATCATTGATGTCGACGGTGATGATGAGCATGGAGGGGGGGCGTGTCGAAGAAATCGTACTGTTCTCGAGCAGATCATCCACGGTATCGAGTTTGGAGATATTGATTCAGACGGGGACATTCGTTAGGAGTTGAGACATGCAGTTCAACCCACAAACAACACTGCCACCCGGTAGTGTAGGGTTGGAGGTTGGAGGACAGTCCGCCGGGATGGAAGGTGGTGGCAATGCTGGTGTCACGAGCACAGCCCGTGAATCCATTCCGAGCAGCGTCACAAACATTCCACCTGCAGATACTGGACACTCAGCCGACAAAACGGGTCATCGTGAGGGTATAGCAGCAGGAGCCAGTGGATCCGTTGAAAAAAAAAAAAGAAGGCTTCCAATTGATGGGGGGAAAAGGAGACGACGGTGCTTCTTAGGCATGTTTATAAAGTGAAAACACTGATGGGGGAGAACTCAGAAGCGATGAGGATGGCTCCTTTGAAGCTGCGTTTATGGGCTGATGTTAGTGCCCGAATGAAAGAGGCTAATTACCTTCGTGAAGATGACGAATGCAAGAATTGGTACCACTTTGTGCGCAACAACTACAGGCTTGTGAAAGACCACAATCGGTGGTCGGGCAACCAGAAGTACTGGTCGATGGATCAGGCCACACGTAAAACGCACGCCTTGGACTTCCTCATGAGGAGGGAGTGGTATAACATCATACATGTTCATGAAGGGCACAAGCATACCATCAATCCCGACAGTCTCACAGATCCGGGGGCTGAGAGCCACAACCGGGCCAGCGCACACGACAGCGATGTGGACGACAATGATGATGATACTGCTGACGATGAAGTAGTTGGCGTGGGGTCGGAGGGAAGCGAAGGATCTGAACCGGGTTCCTCCAGAGGAAGGGGGGGGTCTCGCAAGGGTGGAAGGGGTGGAGGAGGGGGTTCTGACACGGGTGGAACGGGTGGAGGAGTGGGGTCTGACACGGGTGGAACGGGTGGAGGAGGGGGGTCTCACACAAATGAAACGGGTGGAGGGGGCTCAGGGGGGGGTGTCGCTCTCCCCAGATGACTCAGCCGCAGCCACATCCGCAACCGGAGGGTCGGGGACATCTGCGACCGTAACCGAAACTTTGGGCAGTCGAAAAAGGTGTCAACAGAACGCACATGAGTTGGCGATGCGTGCAGTGACAGGGGCTATGCATGATAAAACAGCGGCACAGACGAGATCCGACGTCACGCATCACCAGATATTACCTGAGGAGCTGAGCATACAAGAATGAGCGGCAAGGATGACATGTGAAGTGATGTGTGAGGATATTGCAGCCCGTTCCAGTAATGCCTATAAATTCGGAGAAAGGTTGGAGAAGGGGTATTTCGTCCTCGCTGATGGCATTCGCAGCTTGAAGTCTTGAAGAGGCCCAGATCTCCTCGCGCTGATGCGGATGCTTGAGGTCTCTTGAACATGACAGATAGATGGAGTGGATGCTGACGTCTTTCCTCGTCTGCTATATTTACGGGTAGTCCTTTGGGTCCGTGACATTGGGACACCGGAGGTTTTTTAGTTAAACGTATTTTGTGGTGCTTACCACATGGTTTTCGTATGGAATAGAACATTTCTTAGATCTTTAGTATTATAGACGTATTTTGTAATATCTATCTATCTATCTATCTATCTATCTATCTATCTATCTATGTGTCTGTGTGTGTGTGTGTCTTTGTGTGTGTGTGTGTGTGTGTGTGTGTGCACATGCGAGGAAGCAGGTGACGGCTTTTGTGTTATAAGGAGAAAGGTCGACACTTTGGTGTCGCTGCTGTTCGTTTATAGAAGACAGGAGTAGCAGTATTCATCGGCTGGTTTTGAATGGCACTGCTGCGCTGAGGCGCCTCCACATATTTTTTGGTATCGCCACAAATGGTTAATGGGGACCCCCATTTTCAGGCCCTGGGAAACGAGTCCAAAACTGAAACTAGGGTTTCGGGGTCAAATTTTATGTTTTTTTAATTTTCTTTTGGGAAAATTTGTCTGGCGCCCCTGTATTTTGCGTTATTTTGCGTCGTGCCCCTCCGACGGCCGGTTTACCCTGTCGCGCCCCTCGGCCAAAAAATATTTTCAGCAGGCCCTTGTCGGTGGTGACCGCAACTTTCCAGGACGCCCCCCTTCGACTGGCGGTCCCATTTCTGTCGGGCCCTGTGCCATATGCCCTCATGAAGGGAAGCCATCTTTCTGCAATGCCCCCGCAGACGTGAGGCGCTACAAATTCAAATTCGATTTCAAACTGTGCCCTTCTTGACGCGGCCGCTATGTGGTTGTCGACGCGGCGCCGCCGCAGAGAAGCTGGTGGATTGCAACCTGTCCTCTGCATGCTTGATGTTTTCGCGTGGGCGATCACACGTGGGTGCCACTCACCTTCTTTGTTCTCCGTCTACTTCGTCTCCTTTGTCTTCATATGTCCACTTCCCTGCGAGTGTGTGTGTGTGTGTGTGTGTAAGAGAGAGAGAGAAAGGGTGAGTTCATGACTTCTCTCTCTCTCTCTCTCTCTCTCTCTCTCTCTCCGGTAACCGTTCTCTCTGCTCTCTCTCTCTCTCTCTACGGGAAACAATCGGGTGCGTCAGGGAGGGGGGAGGAAGAAAGAAAGGAAAAAAAAAAAAGAAGAGAGAGAGAGAGAGAGAGAGAGAGAGAGAGAGAGCCACGGCGAGTTCGCCGCGGCACTCCGCGCAGCTCGCGGTGCATCTCTTTCTCTCTCTCTCTCTCTCTCTCTCTCTCTCTCTCTCTGTTTGAAGTTGCAAATAGGGAATGAATCTTCCCGTGTTCGTGGAAAGATACGTTCAGGTTTTGCAAATTGCTGGCGCGCAAAGTAGTCACAGGAGAGAGAGAGAGAGAGAGAGAGAGAGAGAGCCACGGCGAGTTTGCCGCGGCACTGTGCGCAGCTCGCCGTGCATCTCTCTCTCTCTCTCTCTCTCTCTCTCTCTCAATTCGAAGTTGCAAATAGGGAATCAATCTTCCCGTGTTCGTGGAAATATACGTTCAGGTGTTGCAAATTGCTGGCGCGCAAAGTAGTCACATGAGACTGAGGAGAGAGAGAGAGAGAGAGAGAGAGAGAGAGAGAGAGCCACGGCGAGTTTGCCGCGGCACTCTGCGCAGCTCGCCGTGCATCTCTCTCTCTCTCTCAGTTCGAAGTTGCAAATAGGGAACGAATCTTCCCGCGTTCGTGGAAATATACGTTCAGGTGTTGCAAATTGCTGGCGCGCAAAGTAGTCACAGGAGAGAGAGAGAGAGAGAGAGAGAGAGAGAGAGAGAGAGAGAGAGAGAGAGAGAGAGCCACGGCGAGCATACTCTCTTTCTCTCTATCACACACACACTGTGACACACACTCACACACACACAGAGTAGCCCACGCATGTGATGAGCAGTTGAGCATGTCATGAGACATTAGCAGCGTTGCACAACTTTAAGATGATAAGTCTGATAGCGGCAATATTTGTGGCACGACGGGAACAAAAAGTAGAAAAAAAGAAAGCTTCTCATTGAAGATTTTGAAAAATTCCGACTTCGATGGTATTTGGATTTCAAGTTCTC